GGGTCTTGTGGTGCGTCCAATCCTTTCCTCCTTCACCGATGCCGTCGTCGGAGTCGTATGACGCATGCGGCTCGAGGTTGCCGGTTTTCTGTTTCCCCCGCCAGCACCACCTAACACCAAAACTGTGTAGCTAGGAAGAGTAACCTCACTGCTATCCTCACCCCAGAGTGGGGTTAGTCATAATAGGGTTAAGCGTAATATTTCTCATGTTGCAACATCAAGTCACCCGGTCTCAAATGCTGATCTCGGGCTACAGTGCAAATCTCGTGGCCCCTCAAGTTGTATGGTTCGGTAGGGAATCACCAACCACCTAGCACCTTGCACCTCCTGTGGCCGTCACGCCTCGACCTTGACTGTTCCTTGTCTGTTTCGCCATGGGAACGGCCGGTTGAACAGCGAAAGAGGGTGCTGCGTGCTGCGCGCCACAACCTTCTTTTTTTTCGTCTGTGATTTTCTTCCTGAGTGACCGTTGTACACATGCAGTTGCTGCTGTTATGCTCGGAATATGCTGCAAAGTTCGTAACGCCATCGTCTCTGTCGCTTGGGCTGCACGCTGTGCTCGCCTAGGAGATGCGCATCCCTTAATTTTTTCTCCGTGTCGATATCCATGAAGAAAGCAACGGCAGCACGGTTGAAGATACAGACAACAACAGACGGTCCGCCTTGTACTCGTTTTTTTTTATTTTCTTGCTGCATATGCATCGATCGGTGGTAAAGCATCGTGAGCGTATTGCTGCCTTACCTTGAGTCTGCTGCGTAGTCGTAATTTGAGCGATAAGGTAGATGGCAGCACAATCTTATTTGCGTAGAACTGGTCATTCGTGTAGCGGTGCGCATCTATCGCGACGGCAAGCGTATTGAGATAACAGTTCGTCCGTGGTGCGTCTAGTTTGTTTTAACTTCATACCGCAAATAAATGAAAGAAAGTCTCCACAGTTCGGAAACGGCGACTATATTTTGTTTGTTGTGCTTGTTGTGGCTGAGCGCACATTGGATGTCGCCGTTCGTTACACATTTGACGGCCTGCGGTTTGCCACAGGGACGTGAGTCAGTGTCTTCTCGAGAGTTATAATGCCTTCTCGACGCTCTCTTCTTTTGGTCTACAGTCAACCTGCTACAGTAGTAGTACCTGTCTCTCTCGCTTTTTCGCCGTTGGGGTCCTAACAACATCGAACGTCAACCGCAACCGTTTTGCTTCTTGCTGAGTAAGAGGCTACCCGTGTACCCGGCTGCTGCACGTGAGGCGATGGGCGCTGCCTCTTTATGTGAAGCAATGGGCATGGCCCCTACTCTTTGCTGCATGCAATGCTATGTGAAAGCTTCCAGCGGTTCAGAGCGGCGACGGTGGCTTTTCTACGCCCTCTTTTACAACCTCCCTGAGAAGCCTGTCGCATCTGGCTCACTTGTCTTCGTTCTCCCTCCTTGCTATTTTTATTTTTCATGCTGTGCTTTTTGGGGTCCGCCGGTCACCCACCCACTGACCCACCCATTACTTCAGTTAGTTACAGTCGTGGGCCCGGTTTAGCGGTCCATAGTGTCGCGAATTTTCATAACCGCTATTCAGGGCATCGCCGCAAAACCACTTTAGCGGTCATTATCCGCTAAACCGGGAGGCTTAATAGTGGTCATGAACCGCTAAACCGGGAAAAAGCCCATTTTTGCCCTACAATAACAGCGTGGAGAGCTGATGATATTGATAGGGTCATGCGTATCATTGCAGCAGTCACACGAAGGTGCGGATAAAGAAGTAACGAGCCAATGAAGGACAACGCCGCAATCACATTCATTAATTAATGATGCATTTTAATTCGCCAAAGCACGAAGAGTATTCTCCCTTCTGGACTGTATGCCCCTCATCAAGACTGGAAAATCGTTCGCGTCTCTAACGAACGAAGTGAAGTAGGTGATGAGACAAACTTGTGACAACGCAATGGCAATCAACCACGTGCTTGAGCATCTCATTTCTGCCACATGTCGCGTATCGATCATTCTTCACCCAAAGCAATCTCTCTGGTATCTGCCTTGCGCGCTGGAGGAGCGGCGTGCGCTGCAAGGAACGCCATTTTTGCCTTGCGAAATAGTGTGCTGCTTCGCTTACGCCACACGACTCCGCGCTCTCCACGCTGGCCAAAATCCGATGATACCTCCGAGTGTGGTGGCGGCGACATCACCCCCCTGCCCTTCGCTCCGTCAAATTGTGCGGTGGTATAGCCCTAGCTCTAGGTCGTCGTGTCGTCGTCGGAGGGGTCAGGCCCCCCTCCACGTACATACCGGACAACTTTCAACAACTTCGTCATTCGCGCCCTTTTACGCAAAGCTTCGGCGATCTCTTCCTGTGCGCACTATTTCTGCGTGCGCTACCTTCCGGTCAAGAAGCTTCAAAACCTCGAGATTCTAGCGAAAGTAGAGCCGCGTGTGGGGCTGTTGTCGTGTAGCTGCAGCGCGAGTTGTTTCTTTCCGCGCGCCTGGTGCTAGAAAGCCACCTTACACCTCTTGGCGCTTGGGCGGATTTGAGAAGTGAGGGGAACTCTGCGCCTTCTTGGTTGTACGCCGGTTGCATCTCGTTCTCATCCGGAACCTCCACCTCCCCACACACATGCCGTGTACGCGGCCACCACAGCAACTTTTACAATCATGCGCGCCGCTTGGACTCGTGCCGCATCTAGAAGCTTGCACAGTTCTCCATCCACGCGCCGCATGGTGTGTGTCTTTAATATTAGCATCGAACGCGCTAACCGGCTGACCAATGAAAATACGTCGTCGTCAGTCTCAACGTGGTTGAAAACACACAACACTTCTATATGTCATTTAACTGGGACCTCGTGAGGGGGCGGCATGGGGCAGGTAAAAGCTATACCCGGAGTAAGGACAGACACGGTAGGTAGCAACAGAGGAAAACTGCCACCTTGCACTCGAGTTCGTTTTGGAGTGTTTTCACCATCATCCTCCTTGCTTTCGCCACCATCACTCTCATCGTCGTTTCTTCAGCTATTTTTCGGCGATTCTTCTCTGGCCCTGCGTCGTTTGGTGTATGTGTGTGTGTCTTGCTGTGTCCTTTTTATTATGAGCTTCGACCAGCTAACAGGCTGACCAAGTCGCTGTGCTGTGAGTATGTGCAAGCGAAGCGCGCACTACATGCAGGTCCCCGCAAAAATTGAACCGATAACCGCTATTGGTGGCTGCAAATATGTCCAATAACCGCTGTTGAGGGCACGACCGGTTTAGCGGTTGTATAACCGCTAAACCGGGGTGCAGCCGTGTCACGAGATTTTATAACCGCTATTCAGGGCATCCCGCAAAACAGGGAACCGCTAAACCGGGCCCACGACTGTATTATTTTTGTTGTGAGGGGGTGTTTACTTGCCATGTCTATGACTGGACCCCGCAAGTTTCGCAATTCTAAAGCTTTTCTCGTGCATCGTTCGATATCCGTTCGGTGGGGAATCGCAAATCATGACCTGTCCCCGAGTTTGAGCAGCTTCCGCGTCTTGTGGCCGGCAAGATTCGGCCTTCACTGTACCTTTTCTGTTTCGCCATGGGAACGGCCGGTTGAACAGCAAAAGAGGGTCCCGCATGCTGCGCGCCACAACTTTTTTTTTTTGCGTTTGTGATTTTCTTCCTGAGGTGACCGTTGTACACACACACATACATGCGGCTGCTGCTGTACACATGCGGTTGCTGCAGTATATGCTCGGAATGTGCTGCAAAGGTCGTAAGGGTATCGTCTCTCTCGTTTTGGGCTGCACGCGTTGTGGGCGTAGGCGATGCGTGTCTCTTTTCCCAGAGTGTCGTTATCCATGAAGAGCAACGGCAGCGCAGCAGTTGAAGAGACAAACAACAACAGACGGTCCGCCTTCATTTTTTTTTGTTTTGCTGCATGCATGGGTGGTTTGCATCGGTAAGCGTGTTGCTGCCTTGCCTTGAGTCTGCTGCGTAGTCGTCATTTGAGCGATAAGGTAGATGGCAGCACAATCTTATTTACGTAGTGAGGTATGAGAACCAACGATCTGCTCGATCGTGCAGCGGTGCGCATCTATCGCGGACGTGAAGCGTATTGAGATAATAATAGTTCGTCCGTCGTACTAGATGTAGTCATGTTCTCTTTACTTCTCACTTCCTACCACAAAAGATAGTCCACACTTCGCAAACGGCGACTATATTTGTTTCTTGTGTTGTTTGTTGTTGCTGAGCCCACATTGGATATCGCCGTTCGATACATATACATCATGTCTGACAGCCGCGGTGGGCCAGAGAGACGAGAGTGAGTGTCTTCTTGAGAGTTAATGCCTTGTCTTCTCTTAGTCTACCTCTCTCTCTCTCTCTCTCTCTCTCTCGCCTTTCGCCGGTGGGGTCCCAACAACATCGAACGTCAACCGCAGTCGTTTTTCTTCTTGCTGACTGAATAAGAAGCTATACCCGTGCATCCGGCTGCTGCATGTGAGGCGATGGGCACTGCCTCTTTATGTCAAGCAATGAACTTGGGCCCTACCTAAAGTTTGCTGCATCTGAAGTGCTATGTGAGAGTTTCCAGCGATCCAGAGCGAGCGGCGACGGTGGTTTTCTGTGCTCTCTTTTGCCTCCTCCTCGAAGCCTGTCGCGTCTACTGGCTCTTTTGTTCTCGCTTTTTTATTTTTGTATTTTTCATGCTTTGTTTTTTGGGGTCCCCCGGTTCCTGTTTTTTGTGTGTGCTCATCGGGCGTCCCGCTGAAAGACTCGAACCAGATTGGGTGTTGAATTTTTTCATCGGGACTTTTTGGGTGTTGGTCTTCAGACAGGCAACGCGACGATACTCGTCGAGTTCCCATACACAATCATAATCGGATTAAGCGTAATGTTTCTCATGTTGCAACATCAAGTCATTCAAGATCATCGAGAATCTTGAGGTTGAAAAATGAAAAATCCAGTTAAGGCATAGTAGTCGCGCTTCGTCTCCGTGACGATTAAACACCTACACACAAACAAAGCAAGGCTCTTTTTGTGTCTCGCGTCGCAGTGAACGGATGTGTGAACAGGAGCCGGGGCAAAGTTTCCACTGGGATGACCTGGTAACGCTTGTGGCCGGCGAAAAGGATGGTGGGGAGTACGTCATTGACGATGAGCTTGGTGACCGGCTGAGGACCATGGCCATGGAATGCAACAAGGAGGCGGTGATCACTGGATTGAAGCGAGTGGAGGCGGCGTTCAAGCGAAGAAAGTGAGATCACTGCGTTTTTGCTGTTACCTGTTTATATGGGAGCGAATGCATGTACCGGCCCGCAAATAAGAAACTACACCTAGGGCTTGAGGCGGAGTTTCTTACAAACAAGACAAACAAACAGCCACCTCAGGCTGATTTTCTTATTCATTGTTATCAACTTTAATTTTTTTTTAACTAAAACGTTTCAGTGAATAACCGATGAATCCTTAAAACCACTTGTGGTTAAGCAAAAGCCCGAAACCGCGCATCCCGATGTTGGTCGACCCTACATTGTCGCGATCCATCTCGACTTCTTCAATTACCGTTTACATCGAATCGAATTGCACAGAGCCCCGGGTCCCAGCTACACCGACAACGTGTCCTACGTGAAGATGATCCGTGCGATATGTGAGAAAGCTACCGCCGTCGATCCGGGGGGAGCTGCTATCGGTGGTGGCGTCGGTAGCAGCGATGCGGGGGGCGTGGGGTACGGCGGTGGCGGTGGCGGCAATAGCAGCGGCTCGGGTAGCGCGGTCCCGGGGCACGGGGGTGGTGGCGGTGGCGGTGGCGGTGGCGGTGGCGACGCCACGGGTAGCGCGGTCCCGGAGCACGGGGGTGGTGGCGGTGGCGGTGGCGGTGGCGGTGGCGGCAATAGCAGCAGCTCGGGTAGCGCGGTCCCGGGGCACGGGGGTGGTGGCGGTGGCGGTGCCGACGCCACGGGTAGCGCGGTCCCGGGGCACGGGGGTGTTGGCGGTGGCGGTGGCGGTGACGGTGGCGGTGCCGACGCCACGGGTAGCGCGGTCCCGGGGCACGGTGGCGGTGGCGGTGGCGGTGGCGGTGGCGGTGGCGGTGGCGGTGGCGGTGGCGGTGGCAGTGCCGACGCCACGCCCGCGTTCGACGTCGACACTGTGACGAGAAGCTTGATGGATAAGGGGAAAGGCCCTTTGGCTTCAAAATGGTGGCCCAAAGCGATACAGTCGTCCAAGAACCAAGCGACAGCCTTCTCATTTTTTTGTCCAAAATTTCCGGAAGTAGTCGCCAGAATCAACGAGACATGTGTGCGGGGATTTCCTCGAGGTCAAGAATCCCGTGACACTTTTCTGACGCCGACAATATCGGCTAGAGCAAAGAAAAAGTATAACCTCGGGTTCACTTTCGCCCAGCTGAGAGATGGTGGAATCGCGGTGGCCTTACCCGACGACATGCAAAAGGAAGTCAAGGAGCTCAACGAGAAACATGGAAGGAGCTTGACTCTGGAGCAATGGGAGCAGTGCATGAATAGGTCGGTCGCTATAAGGGAAGAAAACGGAAACCCGTTGCCAGAGCTGCCAAATAGAAAACTGCGCTGGGAGAAGACGGCTTCCGGGGCGGATGATGGGGATGTGGAACACGGTGGTGGCGGTGGCGGGTCTGGGGATGGCGCTGACGGAGGGCAGCGGTGCGGTGGTGCTGGCGGAGGTTCGGGACGCGGTGGAGGTGGTGGGTCTGGGGGTGAGGGGAGCGAAAACTCCGGGAGCGGGGGCGGGGCGGGACGTGGTGGCGGCGGTGGCGGTGGCAGTGGCGGTGGCGGCAGCGCCAGCAGAAGCAACGGCATCTCGGGCAGAGCGGTCCCGGGGCACGGTGGTGGCAGACGCAACACACCACGTGCTGCATCCATGGATGATGATGGCGGAGGCGCTGGAGGCGTCGACGCCGCGCCAGCGTTCGACGTCGAGACTACTACGAAAAGCTTGATGGCGAGGTCGTGGCCATTGGCTCATAGTGCTTGGCTAAGAACGAAATATGACGTCGTGAACGATGCGCTCCCCGTGTCATTCTTTTACCCGCTTTGTCCGGAAGTAGTGGCCAGACGCCACCACACATGCACCTGGGGCTTTCCCGAAGGTGAAAAATCTCGTGGCTATTGTGGCACATCGCAATTAACGGCCAGAGCACGGGAGAAATTTAACCGCGGGATCGCTTTCGTCCAGCTGAGAGATGGTGGGATCGCGATGGCTCCACCGGGCGACCGACAAAAGGCACTCGACGCGCTGAACAAGGAACATCGCCAGACCTTGACTTTACAGCAATGGGAACAGTGCGTGGACGAAGTGGTCGGCCGTCGGGAAAAGGTGTTCACAATGCCAGAGCGTCCTGACCTGCGCTGGGAGAAGACGGCTACCGAGGCGGGTGATGGGGATGTGGATCACGGTGCGCAACACGGTGCTGGCGGTGGTGCTGACGGGGGTTCGGGACGCGGTGGCGGTGGCGGCGGCGGGTCTGGGGGTGGCGCTGACGGAGGACCGGGGTGCGTTGGTGCTGGCGGAGGTTCGGAGCGCGGTGGCGGCCGCGGGTCTGGCGGCGGGGGAAGCCGTGGCACAAACCGCGATGGCGGTGGCGGAGCGGGACGTGGTGGCGAGTCGGAACGCGGAGGAAGCAACAGCCCCGGGGGCGGTGGAGAGGGTGGTGCGAAGCGTGAGAGGAAGCGTGTGATCGACGCACCCCCGACCCTGGACACGTTGATGAAACAGGGGATGCCGTTTTACCTTTTCACGTTCCCTCACACACCGCAAAACGTTCCAAACTCGGATTTTCCGGTGGAATCCTTCCAACCCACAACGACGAAGCTCCTCGAGGATGCGCAAGGCACCTACACCTGCCCTTCCGAGATCCTCAACCTGAAAGGGGTATTTTCGGATGGGAACGTTGGCCAGAGGGTGGTCAAGAACTTTAATCTCGGCAAGATGGTTGCCGTGATGCGACATGGCAAGGGGGTCAGGACGGTGTGCACGGAGGACATGCATGCCGAGCTACAGAAGACTCGCGGGGTGACGCGACTGACCCCGGAGCAATACATGCCGTTGCTGAAGGAAGCGGTGAAGGCGAAGGACGGCCAGCGCAAGCGCGACCAAGCTGACGCGGTGGCGGCGGCGGAACGTTCCGGCTCCGATGACCGGAAGAGGAAGGAGGCTCCAACTGGTGGTGGAGCCGGTGTGATGAAGAAGAAGACTACACAGGCAGCTGGAGCCGGAGCGGGGGGTGGTGCTGGAGACGACGGAGGGGTGGATGATGCAGCGGTGGGCGGTCGAGCCAAAGCCGGGGCGGGGGGTGGCGTGGGCGGCCGAGACAAGGAGACGACTGCACAGGGAGCTGGAGCCGGAGCGGGGGGCACAAGCCGCGATGAAGCCGGAGCGGGGTGTGGTGCTGGAGACGACGGAGGGGCGGATGATGCACCGCGTGGGCGGTCGAGCCAAAGCCGGGGGGGGGGGTGGCGTGGGCGGCCGAGACAAGGAGAGGACTGCACAGGCAGCTGGAGCCGGAGCGGGGGGCACGAGCCGCGATGGCGGTGGCGGAGCGGAACGTGGTGGCGAATCGGAACGCGGCGGAAGCAGCAGCCCCGGGGGCGGCGGCGGAGGAGGAGCGGGACGCAGTCGTGACGGTGTAGAGGGTGAGGGCAAGCGTGTGCGCGGCGCACCGCCGACCATTGACATCTTGATGGAACGGGGGTTGCCGCTGAACCTTTCGAAGTTCCCTGCTGCACGACAGAAGATCATAGACCCGAACTGTCCCGTGCGTTCATTCAAACCCTCGACCACAAAGCTCTTCGAGGATGTCAGAGGAACATACGCTTGCCCTCCCGAGGTAGTCAGCGGGCAAGTATTTAGGGAGGACAAGCGTGCGAAAGAGGTGGTGAAAAACTTCAATCTCGGCAGGATGGTTGCCGTGATGCGACACGAGAAGGGGGTCAGGATGGTGTGTGCAGAAGACATGCAAGTCGAGCTCCAGCAGACTCGTGGAACGACGGGACTGACCCCGGAGCAATACTTGCCGTTGCTGAAGGAAGCGGTTAGGATGAAGGACGACCAGCGCAAGCGCGACCAAGCTGACGCGGCGGCGGCGGTGGAACGTTCCGGCGCCGATGACCGGAAGAGGAAGGGGGCCCCAACGGGTGGTGGAGCCGATGTGATGAAGAAGAAGCCTGCACGGGCAGCTGGGGCCGGAGCGGGGGGCGGTGCTGGAAACAACGGAGGGGTGGAGGATGAACCGGTGAGCGGTCGAGCTGGAGCCCGAGAGGGGGGTGGTGATGACAGCGACTGTCCTACAGAACGGCAGTCTGGAGGAAAGGAGGATACACCGGTGGGAGGGCGAGCTGGAGCCGGAGAGGGGGGTGGCGTGGGCGAGGAGACGACTACGCAGGCAGCTGGAGTTCCCGTGTGCCCGACCGGGACTCTCCCCGGCTTTAGGGGACTAGTCGGTGGCACCGTTGGCGGCAAAGGAAAAGCCAGCTCAGAACTCTGTGATCTTGGCACCCTGATCGGGCGAGGAAGGTGCCGAGGAGGCAAGTCCGGCAATGCTTGCATAAACGGCGGCGGACGCGGACGCGTGTGGACGCAGGGTGCTCTCGGCAGCGGTGGTGGTGGGGGTGGCGGAGCGGCGAACGGCGACGGTGAAGGCGGGGGAGTTGGTGGTGGAAGCAGTGCTGACGGAAAATCCAACAACAAGGGTAAACGCCCGGCAAGATTCGCGGGCGTCGCCGGAGCGGCTCCGTCGGCTCCGTCGGCTCCGTCGGCTCCTGGTGGTGGTGTCAGTGGCTCCGAAACTGAATCGGAGATCAACTCCGACGAGGGCGACGACGGAGCGGCTTCGCCTGGTGGTGCAGATGCATCGGTGGTCAGCTCCGACGGAGAGTACGACGGCAAGGCTTCGCCTGGGGGTGAAGATGCATCGGTAATCAGCCCCGACGATGACGGTGGGGAGTAAGGTACGTTTTGTTTTTTCAACTGATAATATTTTTTTGTACATCCCCACCAGGTGCTACTGTGTTTCCTTCCGACTATGTATTTATTACAACTCAAACCGAACTGGTTACGATCTCTCGACATTGTTCACCAACGCTGTTCTCTGTGCAGGAAGGACATCGGCGCACACCGGCGGCAGCCGCGGATGAGGATGAGTTTCCAAGATGCTTAAGTTGGCAGTTGTGACCGAGACATTCACAGCAAGTGGTAAATGTATTTTTATGAAGAACTCTGGGTGAGCAGAGAGAGTACCCGGGAAGGTACCCGGGAAGGTGACCCCGATCAGAGATCTGGAAAGGGATGTAAAAACTCCTGCAATTTATTGCCTACAGATAGTTGACGACAACGTCGAGTCCCTAATTAATAGGGATAGACAGCGTTGGTGAACAATGTAGAGAGATCGTAACCAGCAATGCGTTCAATGGTGCGTCGAAGCCATAATGAGTTAGAAGTTCTTCAGACAGCATCGTTTCGAGAGGACACGGATGTATATCGTTTCGAGAGGTCTTATGCATCGGAACTGTAGAATGACGTAGTTCTTGAGAGGACATGTTGGAAGTGCTTGTAGTACAAGAACGGCTCTATTCTACTGCATGGGTTTATGCGGTATTGTGAAAGCGTCGGCAAGTCTGTAACCGTCAGGTGAAGACAGCTTGGGCGTCGGTGTGAAGATAATACAATCACTCTGTGTTTCTCTACCCAAGCCTCCGTCACATACGGAGCCACAGCATACAACAGCCGTGGTCGTGCTGTTAGCGCACACCCGGTACTATTGACGGCGATGTGTGCAAAAGGCCGTCACCTGCGGGTCAGTTACCCCGCGAGTGCGGGGTTCCGAAACTCCGAGCGTGCGGAGTTCCAGGGACGGCGGCGGGTGCCGGGGTCGCGGTGGGTTAGAGTTGGGCTTGTATTGACAAATTTTCTCCACTATAAAGAATTTGCTTGTTGCGATTTTTCAAACACTCACCCACACGTGCGCTCCGAGCACGACAAAAAAGACGGAACCACTTTTCATGCAGAGGGGCTCGAGAAATAAGCAGTTGAGCACCGCTGCCTCACGCCCATTGCTTCCCCCACACTTGGACCATTTCGCGGCCTCCGTTTGGGCTTGTATTGACTACGCTGCCAAGCTTTCTTATTTTCTCCACGGTTATGAATTCCCTGCGTAGACCCACACGTCGTGCTGATTCGTCTTTCTCATGAGAAATTCTCCCACGCTGAAGAGAACCGGCCAGAACCTTTCCGGTTAACATATACCACCAATGCGAACCCAGGCGCAGTTGTTATTGACCAAGAACACCAGGTCAGTTTATGCCATGCTTAGCGCAACCGGCAATATGCAAACATTTTCGGAACAGTCAACAGTGACCTCGGCGTAGGGCCTTCTCAACCAACTACACCAGGCCAGGCGTACCTGTACATTGCCCATAGAGTTTCGTACACGGCCGTACTGTCCCGGCAAGTAACTCCGCTGCCGATTTTTGTCCTCTTGTGGCCGTCTTTCGTTTTAGCCTTCCAAGTCACGCCTACCCGGTTGAAAGGAGCCTTGCGAATCGTCACATATTCCTTCATCTTCGACAGTTCACACTCAGGCAGCGGGCGTAATCGAACGCTCGCTCGGGTACCCTCCTGGCTACCGCTGTCTCTCGTCCTGTTTCTTGCAGCCTGCAACCCGAACTCCCAAGTGCTGCGAGGAGCACTCCTCCGTGCGTCACGTCGAACACGTGTCTTCGCAGGACTAACGCCGCGTCTTGCATCCTGCTTACGTTTCCGTGACCTTTCCGGGGATGTTTCGTTTCCGCCGGCGTGCCTTGTCGTCGTGGATGCCACGCGGTCATTGGAAGCACCACCTTGTGTCCCCTCGACGCCCTCTCGGCGTTTCCGGCCTGCTCCAGTTCGGTCTCCACCTCTACCGCGGCGTCCCCGGACTCGTAGTTCCCCGGTCTTTGTACTTGTCTCGGTACGGTCATCGTGTCCTGAAGTTAGCGACACTCGACCTTCTCTTCCGCCACTGTCCGAGTCCGGCTCTTGTGTGGTTCGGCCAGTAAGAACTTCCGATGTGCCGCTCACCCCGACTTCCACTGCGTCGTCGTCCATACCGAAAGCACTGCTTCGCGGAGGACTCGTGCCATCTACCAATTCGCCAGCACTTGAGTCGATTGGGGTAAGGCTCGACCGTTTCATTTACCCTACCAGCACCCCGCGTGTCCGGCCCCAACCTGTCCCCCTCACTTTGGCTCACCATCACGCACTCTCCATCATCGTCATTGGGAGAGTAAGGCTCGGCAGCGGCATCGACTTGCTCCTCCTCCTGCCCTGACTTCTCCTCCTCCGGTTCCTCGCCGCTCTCATCCACCGGCTCATCCTCCTGCCGCTCCTCCTCATCGTCGCGTCCAGCGACGGGAACGAACTCCCCAGGCGAATAGAAAGTGCCGTCAGCGATATCGAAGTCGAAGGCCCCATCATCCCCACCGGCGTCGTCATCGTCGTATACTCCGCCAGAGCCGAAGTCAGGATTGCCTTCGCCTACCTCTAGCTCGGTGTCCTCGTCGTCATACTCACACTCCCGCAGGGGGCTCTCTTCGTCAGGGTCGCTTCCGACGAAATCTGGAGCAGGTGGCGCACTTACCGGCTTCCTTCCCGCAAAACGTCCTTCAAACGATCCTTCCCCGGACTCTTGCGCATCTTTGTCGTTCGGAGGTCCTCCTGGAACACCTTCACCTCTTCCAGGGCCACGGACGTTACCACCAAGTTCACGTCCCGCGCGCTCATCCCCGTCCGACGCCATGATGGGCGTGTCGGTCGACCGTCCGTTGGCGTTCGTGTCTGCCGTTGGACCGGCAGACGGTGTGTCCTCTGCAGACAGGTCTTCCCTAGACCCTGAGCTTTCGTCTTCCCCGCAGTCAGCATACACGTCTCCATCAATGTCATCTTTCCGCTCCTCCACGATTGCGGGCTTTCTTGCGTGCCTCGAAGGATTACGTCTTCGGGTTGCTGCTTCCACGTTGCGCTTGAACTCGTGGTCGTGGACCCACCATGAGGGCTGTTTCTGTTTGAGCCCAGCATAAGCCCGCCAACTGTTAGGGGTCCGCCCAACGGCCGCCATCGCATCCACCCCTGCCCGTTTCACGAGCGCCAGAGGCGGCGGGCGGCTTCTTGGGAACGACAAGCCGGTTCCGGACTGCACCACCCTCATCGCGTTCGCCAAGATTACCTCAGGTCGAACAAGCCACAGAGGAAGGTGCTTTTGCGTTGTAGTCCCGCTCCCGGTTTGGTCCTTCACCGGACGATCGTGATACTGTCTCAATTCGGTCCACGCCGCTTCAGGATCAAGGAGGCCCAGATCCCTCACTTTCGCTTCCGCTTCGCGTGCCGTCACAGCCAGCACCCGCGCCTCAAGCCTGAGCCCCAGCCCGTTCTCTTTGATGAACGTCATACCGTCTTCTGTCACGAGCTGATCGATCATCCCCCGCAAGTACTTCAAGTTACTGCCGGCTTTCTTGTGTGAATTTGGGACTGCCCAGGTGAACTTACCCCAGGCCCTCAGAACGTGGTCCCACTTGCTGTACACGGTAAGCTTTGTTACTCCTTCCCCTTCCCACGGTGTCGCTCCGCGCGTTTGCGTGGACCCAAACGGCCGGTGGAAAAGGCCTGGCGCTTGCGCGTAGCATCTCATCCTTGTCGCTCCTCGACGAGCCAGGTCGTCCCCCGCACCACGATTTCGGAGTGGCCAGCAAGTCACGAGGGGAACCTTTGTCGTGGGAAGAGTTGTTGCCACATCGAATGTATTCGACTCCGTCGGATTTTTGTCCGCGTTGACCCTGTCACGCGCTCGCTCGGCGGCATCGTCCAACCCGGCCAAGTCGCCTGCTGGGCATTTCATCCCCCACTCCAGGTGCCAAACAACGTCGAATCCCACATCTACAAGAACCCGCTGCAACAGCATGCCGCTAACGCTCTGATGACTGCGGCAAATCAGGTCGGGTCGAGATGGGCGTCTTAGGACTACACCCGGTGCTTCGCGGTTAAAGGCATCGAGAAACTCGTCGCGGGCCTTCCCAACTTCCTCTTCCACGGTTGTCTCGCCGTTTTCCACCTCTTCCTCGTCCGCCTGTATGACCACGTACGTCAGGCCGGGTCCACGGGTAAGGAAAAGTGGACTGGCGTACTTGGGGAGGTTGAGATTACGCACTTGAGGCATCAAATGGCTCAGAGTATCGTGGTGCAGAAGCACCTTCGTGCCTACGTCCTCTACGAGCAGGCAGTACTTTGCGTAGTCGATGTCTACTGGCGCTGTGTCGTCCCACTTCAGGCTGGACGGCAAAGCAGATGATGCCATTCCCCACTTGTAGTCCTCTGAGAGTAGCCCCGGAGCTCTTGGATTGTATGAGTCTCCCAGCGGCATCGTCTGCTTCTTTTTTGACACTGTCTTCAAGTACAGCAGGTCCCTCCTCCCCGCTCGCCAACTCTTTTGTATTCGGTCCTGGGATGCTCTCATACCCTTCTTGGCCATCCCTTGGGTATTGTTCACATCCTCACGCCCCTGGAAGGGCGTACACCACGTTCGGAATGAAGTTGTGAATTGACCCACTCCTGTGTGACTTAAGGTATTGCATGATTCTTGCAGAAAACGGCCGATTTCGTTAGTCCAGCCGTACAGTCGCGGGGTTTACTCAGTTGTTACCTATCTTCATCTATAGATGAGATACTGGAACAATTCAAGCCAGCTACTAGCATGGCGATATCCGAGCGTCCTCGATACGGTCAATACACGTCTGCCTTCGGGCGGGCTTTGACTTTCGTGGGATTTGAGTTAGAGAGGAAAGACATTGTAGCTACAATGGGCGACAGCTGATAGATGAAACTGTCTTCAGAATGTCTTCAGACGTGTGCGTCTACGGGAGGAATGGTATTAGGTTCGACCGCGCAAACCGGCTGACCAACAATCAACGAGTGAAAATACGTAGTGCGCTTTAATTTCGAGGGGCACCGCAGGTGGAATGTAGAGCCTTTTTTTTTTTTTGCAGTTGATGTTTTCGTGCATCATCAGTCTGCCCCCAGCTGGTGTGGTTTCTGCTGCCGCCTCGAAGCGCCTTCGAAAGCTCATCCATCTCTGCACCTCAACACCCAAGACGCGGAACGCCCAGAGACATCCGTGCCATATCAGTGTCCTCATGATGTGAGATCGAACTGGTCAGCCGTTGCGTCATAGTGCCGTGGTCACAAGCAAGACTGTCGCTAACCCATTGATGTTCTTTTCTGGATTATTGGATGCGGACGCAACCCGCGGGCCGGATGCATGCCACATTTATTGTTACTGATCACTCACCAACTACTGCTGCTGTGAACATGTATCAATTAACCTACACCTCCTTCGCGGTCTCTGCTTTGCTCGGCACCTCTGCTGACAATGGCACGATATCGCTTGACTGCTAGAAACAGCATGCGCCTAGGCAATGTGCGGCTGTAATCGGCTGGGTGGTCACGTGCGGTCCTGCTGGCCCCCCTTTACAATCACGTGATGTCGTCTAAAACCTAGATAAAGCGATCAGGCAGGCAAACGTTTACTTCTTGAAGGGCCCTAGATTGCGGTGTTAGGGGTAGCCTCAGCCCAGATTTCAAATCTGGCTTTGCTTATTAAGTATCCAATACTATTCGTACACTGGGCACGTTCACCTTGGAAGAG